ACATCACTGGTCTTTTGATTTGATTCTATTTTTACCTCTATCTTTTTGGTTTTCCTAAGGGTTGTTGTAAACAAAGAATTCTTTAAAGCATAGATTTTAAGAATTCCAAGCAGAACAGCTTTCTATCTTTTTACAGTTAAAATGGGGATAACATGGTAATAATGATCCTTTCACCCCAGATAATACCGAATTATCTCTAGTCTTCTCTCTCCTTCCTTTTCCACCTAAGCAATTTCATTAAAGGAATTTTATCTAGCTTGACTTCAGATATTTTCCAGCACGGTGTCATAAACCAATACAGAGTTCTACTTCTGTAAGTCACCCCATGAATCTTGAAACCACAACTTATTTCGAACAGCAAATTATATAAAAGAAATAGAGCATTACAGTTTGCTGTATTTTACAGCACACTTTAGAACTTGCTTTATGTATAAAAACCTAAGAGAAGTTTTGAACATTAAGGATACTGGAGTAACAGTCCATACCAATAGAGACATTTACTCTGCAAACTTCAAGCTCACAACAGAGATGTTTCATCCTTAAATCTGGAGGAGTAAGGGCCCAAAGCAAAAGCAAAACAACCACGTGTGAAGTATTCTGTGTGCAGGGGTGCACAAGTAAGGGAGCTCATGTCAAGAGAGGTCTGTGAGACTTCTCCCCTCATCCACAATCATGGTAGGACTTCAAGGAGGGGGAGACCCACTGATGGGTAAAATTTCTCAGTAAAGCTCCAGTAAAGAGCCAGACTGTACAAAAAGCAAGAAAACCTTGAGAAATTGCAGGGGAAAACAACCTTTTCAAATGAACTAAACCAAACCAACTACCTCCAGCTTTCCAAGTGGCTTTCTGACATGGAGCAGGAAATGGAACTGTGGGGATACAGGGAGAAATGAGTGCCAGTGACTCAGCACACGACAGCAGGCAGAATTTTGCATTAGCTAAAACAGAGGGGTGAAGTAAGCAAGTGAGCAAGATGAGTGCTGGAATTGTCTTTCTCCATACTACAACACTAACTACACACAAAATGCAACACAGAAATACCAAGATAATTATTTCCAACAGAGAAGATCCACTGGATGAAAAAAAATCCCCAAGCTGTCATTCAACTTCTAAAAATGAGTGGCATGATGTGAAAAACAGTAATATAAAAACATTTATCAGTGAACCACATATTAAATAAGATTCTTTAACTTCATCCAGGTTTCAAATGGTCTAAAGAAAACATCTGTTCTTAATCTGAAGGGTATAAAATATACTGCCTTTAGCATAAATTATTTCTTTTTAAAACAATTTAAAAGTATTTTCAGTTGCTGAATGCAACATTATTGGAAGAGGAAAGAACAAAACACATCTGGCCACATGAAACTGCAAAAAATGGCTGCAGAAACACATCATTAGGAAGGAAGAAATCATTAAGAGCCTAACCATTGCTTTTGTGCTAGAACTCAAAGACTAGCAGAATGATGAGCAGAGACGAGTTACTTTCCTAGAACTTTTCTTTAAAAAGGCTTACCTGTTTGTACACTTACACAGAGATTATCTGTGTGCAAGCTCTCAGGTAAATGTTACCATATGAGTTTCCTCAGTATTTTACTTGAAGCCTCCTGCAACAGCAGCAACAATAAAGGCAGCAAAGCACCCACCTCCCCTTCTCAAGGATCCTCTTAATTGAAGAGCCAGAAGAGATGGACTTTAGGAGAGGCTTTGAGCATACTGCACATACTGACAACACAGCCCGAGGAACTTAAAAAAGAAATGCCACAATATGTTTTTCTTTGCAATATTCCCTCCTTCTTTTTGAAGTTCACAGAATCACAGAATTGTTAGGGTTGAAAGGGACCTCTGAAGATCTCCTAGTCCAAACCCCCTGCCAAGGCAGGGTCACCTAGAGCAGGTTACACAGGAAGGTGTCCAGGTGGGTTTTGAGTGAGGGAGAAGCTCTGTACTGCTCAGAGGGTTTTGAGAAGAGGGCTGTGCTTACGTGCTCTACCAGCAATGATACTAGGCCTAGGAGACTGCATGCCTCTGATGAGCTAGAGCACAAGAAGCCTTTGCAAGAGATAGGAATTAGCAATTTGACAATATTGTGGCAGTGAAGAGACCAACAGTCCATGGATCTTTTAGACCTGGATAGATGGAAATGGGGGTCTCTGTAAGGGCTCAGGTTCCCAGTACAAAAATTTAAAGTCTTCTATCATCTAGCATGGGAAAGAGTTATCTTTGCAAAAAAAAGCATAGGCAAAACAGTTTCCTGAACAAAGGTAAGAAAAAGGTAGCTCATTTTCATGAAGAATTGTCCAGAGAGGTTCAGGAACTGAATCTCACTGATCCTTCTAGTAACAGTAACAAAAAACTCTCTTCATAGAAGGAAATGTAGAGGTGAGAGAGTCCAAGCCACGGGAGGGCAATAACTAAAGAAAGCACAGCTTGATTCCACTCTTTGGAAACATGTAAGAATTAGACAGCAAATGTGGTATCACAGAATTCCTGCCATTCTTTACCCCATTCCTGTACTAATTAAGAGTCTGAACAGCAGCACTACACACACGTTTCCCATGCCCATGGCATAGAAGCAAATGGGAAAATTTCATGAATGCAAATTAGCATATGGGGATGTCCAGAGCAATATATAAGCTATTGCAACACAAAGTCAATTTATCACCAACTCTTGTTTTACACCTTTTCTTAAGACTGTTACTTATTGCCTTTGCTTTCTAAGTTTTAAGATACTTAATTTAATACCTCAATAATGCAGATATTTTCCAGTCCCTGTGGGTAGATGACCAATGTGAAGAATCAAAACAGTGATGCCCAGCTGCTGTGCTCAGGCATCCCTGCAGCTTCAGAACTGAGTTCCTCAGACAGGAAGGGATTTAAAAATAAAGAAGAGGCTGTGCTGGGCACAGACAGACTGGCACACTAACTAGTCTGCCATTTATACATGATCCACCCTTTTAATCTCCTTATTCCTCTGTTTTCCCATTCTCACTCCTCTCCAGGTCACCTAAACCTCTCCTTTTCTCTTTTTCCTTCACTATACATCCCACAAGTCCTACATCCTGTTTGGATTTAAAGGCATACTCCTAACTTCTTCACCCCTCATTTAAAAACCTACATAAATATATTTAATATTATATAAAATTGAGTATCATGTGCCTGATTCTTCAACTGCTTACATAGACTGTCTGCTACTGGCAGGTGGGAGAGCTCTTCTAATTTTCCTAATTGAGCTAATTAGAAACATATCTTCATCTCCAGTGAGAACTCTTTTAATACCAATAAACACTGCAATCTTGTATAGGAACCTATCAGTATGGGTATTTTTTTTTCTTCTTCTCAAGAGAGGTAATGATTTCAGGTACCATTTCACCTCAGAGACTAGGGTTTTAAATCTTATTTTCAAGAAACTCTGAGGAAGACTTATAGGGATGTGGGTTTCTTGAGCACTACTGAATTTTATTTGCAGTCCAGGCAAGTTGACAAAGGAGGTGCTGTGCCAACGTTTCTTATTTTTCCAACCTAGACTTGGGAACAACTCCAGCCACTCCAGGATAGAACTATGAGACTCAAAACCCATCATGCTGGTAAGGGGGTTTGCAGTGTGAGATTCCAGTAAACCTTCAGCAAAACAATGAATACTGTTAGTTCCAGTTAAAACATTATGGCTTAGCTAGATAGATTAAAAAGGCTATCAAGAGCACTGAGTGAGAGATTTGGAATTTCTGATTTCTTATTTAAAAGGAATCTGTTTTATACCAGGACCACCCTTATGCTACACTACAATTACTGGGTATATAACTGTACATCAGCTACCAATGTCACAAAAATTGATAAAAGATTTGTAGTACTCACCTGGTACTGCATGGAAGAGGTTTGTTTATATACTCTTTACTTATGCTGCACCTACAGAAAATATTGTTTAGCTGCAGTGGATATTAAAAAGAAACTCTTTCAACGGTCCCACACTTTAAAAATTAAAAAAAATTATACTGTGCAAAACAGCCAGATGAAAGTCTGCCATTCTTGATGCTGATTTTAAACCAGCATGCAGATCTCCCAAATTCAGTGTCTCCTCTAAAATGATCCTAAAACATCTTCACATTTAAGTTACTGGTATAATTGTTTGCTGTTTATGAATTCTCAGTTGTTAGGCTCAGGCCCTCAAAGCATGAAACAGAGAAAACTACTTCATGAAAACTAAATTTAGTAGACAGCAATATTGCTGTGTTAGCTCCAGACCATCTATTTCCTCTACTAGTGCAGTAGAGGGATTCAGGATTTTACTGAGTTTTGGTTGCTTGCAGGGGTAGCAAGGCTTTTCTTTAGCCACTCATGAGAAAGGGACATGTTCTCACCCAAATAATCATAGCTCCTGTAAGGGAATTTGAAAGGAATGCAGTGTTTTACATAGCCATAGGCTTTCTCTGGACACCTTACAGCTTCCCATTGTGGAGAAAGTTTGCTGGAAGAAGCAATTTTTGGTAATTCTGTCTAAGCCAAAAACTGAAGGAGGAACCTAAACTTATGTGAGGGCAAGCTGTCCTATTTTTGTTGTGTCTAAATCTCCACTTGCCAGAAATGTAACGTCCGCCTGAAACTAAGTTTTGCACAGAAACAATCCACTCCAACAGAGACTGATTTTACTTTCAGTTCTGGGGTGTGCTAAGGTGCTGAGCTGCTAAAACAGACCAAAAGAGACTAAATGTAGAAAGGGAACAATTTGTGATTACTAATTTTGTCCAGGAACTGAAAGATACCAGCAAAGTTCTTATACCAACATCACTGTAGGAGGCAAGGTAGAGCAAGCACTTTATCATCATGTACATAGCACAGATGAGGTGGATTGCCTTGGCAGCAGCAAATCCTTTTAGCATTTTTGTACTGGAAGAAATTCCTTCTGAGGAAAGGAATTCACAGTAAATCCACATTTTAGCAGGCAGGAATATCACACATATTACACCTGTAAGTTCTTGTTCTTAAAGACAACTCATGCATTTTGAAAAAAAAGTTATTTATTTTCACTGCTTTAATCTCTCTACTGTAGTGTTAGCACTTAACATAAGTATCCACTCTTCTACTGTCCTATTTACAATCCATTGAAATGTATACTCTACAAATACAATACATATTTTCAGAAATGTAAGGGAAATGCACAATTTGGTAAGGTTTAAAAAAGTGACACTCATCTGTACAGGATCTTCAAATCATTCAAAAAGTAAAATTTACAAGGCAGTATCCACACAGCTGTGTAAGGGCAGGTGCTACAGTGACAAAGCAGCAAACTTGCTAATACAATAAAATACAGAAAATAAAGTGTTTTGGGGCACCAGATAATACACTTAGTACCACTGAAGTTGTAAATTTAGTAATACCCATATTTCTAGAAACATGTAACTGCAAACCTGGAGAACATTCTGAAAAATATTAAACATTATATACATATGAGGTAAATGTACCTTGGTCTTTTAAGAGGTAATTTGAGTTTAAAGCAACGGATATGGTGAAGGGTTTTTTTGTTTGCTTGTTTTTGAAACACAAAATGATTAACATCCTTGCAATCATTTCAATGGCACAATATAAACAAGAAACTAACTAAAAGGTGAGTTTCATGGCAATCACACTCAGAGCCATTACTGAAAAAATAAAACAGCCTCTTACTTCATTTGACACCTTCATGTCCCCATACAGTCAATCCCAACGTCTTTACTTATATACAAAGTCTTTCTTAGGATTACAAGCAGAACCATTGGAGGGTGACAGAGTGCCATACTTGGAGAGTCTGCTTGAGAAACATCCCAGAATTCCAGCTTTTAAGTTTGGAAGGTCCCTGAAGAATTCCAGCATTTCAAAAATGACATTTCAGGCTTTTCAGCATCAGACCATTTCCAATGCTCCTTGTTCTCCATGTTCATATCCATCTGGTCACAAGTCTGTAAACCAAACTGAGGCTTGAATGCTACTAAAATGTAAAGTTGATTAAATCCAAAAACTTAAGTGAATATATAATGCATGTAATATTTACAATAAACATTTGCATCAGTATTAATCAGAAACTGTTTTGGTATATACTTGAAATGATACAAAATTAATATTTTGAATGCTAAAATATTTTGGTCCCCCTGGATTTCCAAGAGCAGATCTGGTGATATTACAATCTTAATTTAAAAAATACTTACGTGTACCTGTGTCCATATATATAAGATATGATCTTACACAGGTAACATTTAAAGTTACATAATATATACAGACACAGCCTTTGTAAAAGGTGTTCAGTTCATATAATGGAAAAGAAGAACAAAGCTTGAAGTTGTGGTGTCAGAACTGAGGATACATATAGCTCTATTCAGAATTTTCCTGTTCTGCAGCCTAATAGGAATAATAAGGTTGTTCTAAAATACTGTTCCTTATGTTATACACTGTGTCAAGCATCCTTCTGTGCTTTGTTTTTGCAGGCTTCTATTACAAAGCTAAATTTCGAACAAAGTAAGAACAGTTGCTAGCAATTCAGGAGAATGAAGATTTGCAGGTGGTTGAGACAATATAACACAGTCATATTATTGACAGAATCCTCTCCATGCCATGATGCTGCTCAGCTGCTGTACATCCTCTTTGAAATGCAACAGAACTGTTCCATATATTTTATGAAATTAAATGTTATGCTAATAAGGTTTTGTCGGTGCTAAAAAAGCCACTAAAATTATTTGATGAATTATTCTGCAAGCTCTCCTGTTTCTGCCAAAATTACTGTAGAGATCTGAGGCACACCAGTAGCCTAGAATTTCTGAAGCAGGAGCTGTACCATTTGTATCTATGGTAAAGACCCCAGGACAGCTGTGAAAACTTGGAATATAACAAAGTTACCAAACAAAAGAGTTAAATAGCTAGCTAGGAAGTCTTCGAAATTAGCATGGAGGGCCTGACCTATTTTCATGATGACCTGTTTTCTTCAAGTATCTGTAAGGACACACAGAACTTGCTAGAGAGGCTGCCCAGTAGATAGGCTCAGGAGTTACATTCAAACATTTTTTTTTAAACAGTCAGTTGAAAATTTCTGTGGTGCACAACTGCCCATGTGCACAACGGTATAGTTTATTTAAAATACCTGCATGAAGTAATTTTTAATCCAGCTTTGATGGAGGCCTGAATCACATAAGCCTGACTTGGCAGATAATGCCAAACAAACATAAGCATGACAGCTGTACATATGTTTAAGCCTAATTGTTTTCTAAGAACTCCTCTTATTTTTCCCTTTCCTCTTGGATACTATCTTGCAGTATGAATAAACTCATCCCTTTTGTTGTTGACAAAAGCATTTCATTATTTGCAGTTCAATCTCCGGGGGTGTGTAATTCTGACATCATTTAAACTTATCTCCAAGCAAGCAGTAAGAATATGGAAATACACAAAAATTACATATTAAGGCTTTTCTTGTGCCACCTATGTAGCCTCTTCTTCCTGGGCCTCATTCCTCTTCCTGCTTTAGCTGCCACACATCACAGACTATGGCACAGAACCTTGACTGTGCCGCTGCCAGCAAGCACCCTGCCACTGCTACCATCTTGGTAACAAACTCTCAGTGGGCTCTGTGCTGAGGGATGAAAAGGAAGCCAAGTTAAATGTTGTCATGGGTGTTGCATAATGGGATGGGTACTGATGTGTTCTGAAGAGTGGCAGGTTAGGCAGCATATAAATTACCAGGCATATTTACATACTGAAACACTACTGTTTTGGACATTAATGAAACCAAAGGTTAATCAGAGTCTTCCCAAAAAATTGCAATTAAAAAGATACCCTGGTAACAGCAGGTTTTTGTTGTATATTTTGGCAGGAAGCAATTTGATTTCTGTGATTTCAAGTTTGTGAAAATAGTATGATACCCTTAAAACTCAGGGAAATCTTGACTAAAGCTATACATATTCTTCTGTGTTCTTGTGACAGCACAAGTCACCATAAGCTTTGTTCTTCCAATAATGAAGAGGATTGCTGGAATCCCCTGATATTTGTATTCAAAGACCTGCAGTTCACCACCTTCTCTAGCTCACCACTTTGTGTATGAGGCACACACAACACACATGCACATAAAATTTATAAGCAGCTTTGAACTGTCTAGTACAAAAGCCCAAATAACTTCTCTAATGACAGGTGCATTTAATCCTTGTGTAATTGCAAATATTGTTCTTTGCGCCTTAAGACTCGGCAGAACTGCACAGGAAATATGCTTTTCATACTTATTTAATGAAGCAAAATCTTCCTTAACATTTTACTCTTCTTGCTACTTTTCTGAAGTAGATAGGTACTTCAAGTATTTTAGAAGTACCACTTCATAAAAAAATCTACATAATTATGACTCGTAACTTGACAATTACAAAATACGACAGTGAATTTACTAGCTGACACTATTTAAAACTCCTACAGTGGTTTCAAGAGTCAGATTTTGGTAAAAATTGAAGATATTCTATCAATTATGTACTCACTGTTGCAATGAGTGAGATTTAGATCTTAGCTAGGCAAAGGAACAACTTTTAACTTGTATTTTTGAAACCAAAAGTACCATAGGCTTTGTACATCCCTACAATTTTGCATTAAAAGACTCAAAAGTGGCACTTACTGGTGTAATACAATCTATTTTGAAGGCAATGTAATGTTCTGAAAAAGTGGAAAAAACCCAGTAATCATGTATAAAGTATAGTTGCATAAGTTATGTTCCCACAACTGAATGAGGTCAATTTGTACGTCAAGGTCAGAGTCCAAAAGATGCACTACCTTAATAGCTAGCAAGGTATACTCCAACAGTACATTCACAATCTGAATCAAGGAATCGAGAATGGTTCAGAGTAGTCAATGTACCAGGCAGGAATAAAGTTGCTTTAAGAGCCATCAATGCACTGTAGAACAATATAGTGAACCAGTTTCATTTTAGAAGTGACCTCCTACTTTTAGCACAGTTAACTAGCACAGACCAGTTATCAACTTCCCAAATAAAAAACTATAGATTAACGAAGCTAGAGTACATGATGTTTTATAAGTAACCTGGGAAAGAGGTTCATAGTGCACAGAAAGACCCAACACAACTGTTTAGCACATCCACAAAAATCCTAATAAGTGACGTTCCTATGAAGTACTAAAAGGCAGCAATATCCTTCTGTTCCCCCAGTGAGGTAGAACAATTAACCTTCTTAACACGCCACTCTGGTGCAGATAGGGATTTTTACAGTGTTCTTCGGTAGCAAATCCAGGATTACATCTTGATCCCCTCCTGTTGACTAAGTTGTGATAATGTTTTCTTAATGCGCAGAGCTGTCAGCCGAGCGGCTCCGTTGGCATACCAGCATTCCCGCATAATTTTGGCCATCACTCGTAGTGCCTGCAAAGGAAACACAAGTCATTCATTATATGCACTGCTGTTCCAGCATAGCCCATGTAACTGCTGCTCTGCCTTAGCCTCTTCAGGCATTTCTGAAGTCAACTGTTGCATGGGAGAGTGTGTTGTTTGGAAAAAAAAAAATTCTTACTTTATTTACAGAAAGTAAAACTCTCTAAACACTGTAGAGTAAACCTGATATTTTTCAGTGGACTTTCGGGCCATGAAAAAATATTTTAATGAAAAATTAGTAGCTTGCCTGTAACTGTTTTCTGAATTTTCATGCCAGACAAAAATACACTCTTTTTAGTTGTACCTGCAGTTCAGGAGTTACTTCAATGCATAGCAAATAATGAGCTGCTTTCCTCAAATTGAAGCTCTGCAAGGATTCTAAAAATTTTTGAGGTCTTTTTATCCTTCAAACAGCCATTCTCTGAAATCTAAGTGCTTCCATGTGTAATTTGTAACAAAGCAAATATCAAAAATGGCAGATGAAATACAGTAACAGCTCTACATTCCAAAATACCACAAAAGCTGTACTACATTAGTAATTTCAATCCTGATAGCTTCCTGTCTCCCAGTTTGTGGGTGCATTCATCACCTTTCTCTCCTTCCTATGCACTCTTGCCTGACTCTTATCTCAGCCATGCATTCATTCCACACATGCCACAACCCAGGTTCCCTCCTGAATCCAAAGCACCTCATCCTTATCAGTACCCCACTGCTCCTGCACTGATTGTAGCCCTCGCTGGGCTCCCAGAGCAATGCTATGGAATATTCCCTCTGACCACTTTGTTTCAGCTGCCCTGGCTCTGCTCCCTCTCATGCTCTTGTCCACCCCCAACCTCATTGAGAAATGGAGAATGCCTTGAAGCTGAGCAAGCACTGTTCAGCAACAGCTAAAGCATCAGTGTGCTATCAGACTGCTTTGGTCACAAATCCAAAACACGGCATTGTACAGCCTGCTATGAAGGACACTGACTCAATCCCAGCCAGACACAGTACAATTTATTTATAATGGTGCTTCCTGCATAATGTAATTCAGACTAGCTCTAATTTATATCAGTATCATCTATGCTTCACAGGAAGGGATCCTAGAATCCTCCATGCAGAGTTAGCTATTAGCTTTTATGAAATTACATTTAAATACTTACATGTAACCAAGGAACAATGTTTTTAATAAAACCATAAGGATTAGAATGAAATTAATTAAGTTCTCCTAAAAGCAGCTCTTCTCCCTTGAACAATAAGCATGATTTTTAAGCCACTGAAATCACTAAAAGCTCTAGTGTCCATTAAAGCAGCTTTAGCAAGGTTAGTTAATACCTCACAGCTCTGCCATCTGTTTGGAATATTGGGCCTTAACTTCTGTTCACACACAACTTTCCTCATTTCTTCAACAGAAGGATCTGAAGGAACGAGGTCATAGTATGGCAATTGGTAATCTTCATGGATTCCTGTAACAGGTTGAAAATAGCTTTATTTTAGCTAACACTGGATTACATATTCTTCAATTTTTACTGTGTTCCTTATCAGTACCCTACCAGTTTTTGCTTTTCATTTTTAAAAATTACATCACAATGACTGACAAATAAATAAACAAAAGTCCTTAACCATACCTTAGGAGTGTTTACATTACCCTTGAAGGATCTAAAATTTATAAAATTGGAAGAGATATAAGCTACATCAAATCTTTTATACACTATACTAAAACCAGGCTGCTTCAGAAAACAATTTATAACAGCATGCTTCATTTTGAATAAGGTACAGATTTATCTGAACGCATTATAGCTAGGCCTTGTGGTGTTTGCCCCTTGCTCACAAGAACATTAAATTTTCCCCTTTTCTCCCCTCTATGTAAATATTTAGAAAAAAAAAAAGTTTAAATAGACTACAATATTTCCTATTTTCTTTAACAAGTATGGTTTGTCAGTCTAGAAAGAGGTTGGATAGACCAGTTATTTACAGGATTAACAATTAGAAAGTCTGAGATAGACTTGCTATTACTTAGCACTGTTTTTTGAGCAAACTCAAACTTGAATAAGTTACTTATAATTCCCTAATATGTCCCACTTTGTAAAGACTGCCACATACCACCAATTGAACACCGCCGAGCTATTTCCCAAAACACTAATCCCATTGCATAGATGTCTGCTCGTTTGAACGACTCAAAATGTTTCATATTTATGGAATCATCTAGAACTTCAGGAGCCATGTACCTGTGTGAAAAAAAAAAAAATTAATTAACACTCTAGAGTAGAAAGTTCAGCACTACTGATGAGCTCAAATACAAAATAATGTATTTTTGTGGAAAGGGAGATAAAGAAAAGTCTGCTTCATTAAGGTTATCCAATCAGACAATTCAATGTAAATGGATAAGTAAATTGAGAGAAACAAGCAGAGAAATAGGAGGAATAAATAAAATGTGAAATAATAAACAACTAGAGCCATAAACCTGATAGACAAGGCACAACTGAGACAGTGACAAAGACTGAAAGTCTCCAGTTCCTCACTGACAGACTATTAAGAAACTCCAGACATGACTCTATAGAGGTGCAGTCTGGATGTTGTGACTGCTAATAAGAGGGAAACAAGAACATCACGAGGATTGAGGATATCAAAGGAAGGCCTGTCCAGCTATGCAATGCTTATCAAGGAATGTTCAGGAGAAAGGGAACAGTAGTGTGGCAACAGATAGAAAAGGGTAGCAAAGGGGCCAGTTGCAGAAGAGGTGGCCAGTCTGCACATGCTCACCAGTGTATCCTATTTTATTAAACCCTAACTATGCTGTGCAATCTCACTTTCAAGCCCACATGCACGTGTTCTCTAAGAACTGTATGTCAGCAACTGGAGGCAGGCATGAGTCTGCTCAGGTCTAGCACCTGGAGCAGCACAAGGGATGAACCTGAAACTAGAGAGGAGGAGACACTCAACATCAGTAGCTGAAAGGGGAAATACAGGTCCTAGGAGTGAGTCTGCAGGTGGTAAGAGCACATATCTGGAGCTACTGTGGGGGGAGAACACAGTGGTCATTCTGTGAATGAATTCTGGGCCAGCAACTGTAGTGTGACAGAAGGTGAAGGAAACCCTGCTGCCAGCAACTGGAGCAAATGAGTGCGTCTGCTTCAGCTACTGAAATAAGACCATGGATCACAGGCTTCATGGTCACAGCTTACATGTATCAGCTACAGGGGAGAAAAGGGATGAGAACAACGGAGCAAGGGCCTCAGCACCAGCAGCTGGAGTGCAAGTCACAGGTTGTAAGGTCTGTGTGCCTGGCTACCAGCTGCTGGGTTGGGTCAGGTGGTTTGCATTTCCCCAGCAACCTTCAAGCTGGTCTAGCCAGCACCCAGGGAGCCCAAGCAGGGATATTTGCCAGGGCAAGGACCCATGGCAAATATCAGTATTTGAGGGAATCCATGCCTGCAGGAGTGCATACAAATACATCACCTGTTTGCTGCTGTGCATTAACCCAGCTGGGAAGTACAAGATCCATGGAGCACAGGAAAGGGCATTAGACACAGCAAGCCCCAGATGGATGGTTGAAGGGCTCATAACCATGCATGGATTTGTGAGGCTGCAGAAGGGAGTACGTACTTTCACTAACAAAGTGCAATCCTGATCAGCTGAGGAGAGGGAAGGAGACTTGGCTGTCGATAGTTATGTTTTATACAAGTTCTGACAGTGTTCTATGTGGGTGTTGAAGACAGCACATGGTGTATAGCAATCTGTGTAATCAGCCCTGTCAGTACTGTATGTGTCTGTGCATGACTGGTTGGATTCCAAGGAAGAAAGCAGCAGCCACATCCACAGGCCTCGGATGAACAGAGCCACAGCCCTTTGGAACAAACCAGTTGGGTTCCAGAGGTCACACAAAAGGAAGCCTCAGCTCCTGTAATCTGACAAATCATAGCAGCGATTTATAACATCCCCTAACAAGCCTAAAGCAGGAACAGACAAGAAGTGCTGATTAAGAAACCAGCGCTGTTAAAATTTTTTTGAGAACAAAGGCCCACTATCGTTGTAGTACCTGATCCTTCATCATACAGTCTGCAAGTCCCACCCTAAACCATATTTTTAAAAAAACTAGTAAATCCTTTGTGGGTTACAAATTAAAAACTGTGCTCATGAATTTGATTTACCCATATTTCCAGCAAGGAGAAAAATCTGTAACAAACTTTCCTCTAAGAAACAGGGCCTGAAAACCAGTCATGGCATCCAAATGGTTGTTACCTTGTTTAGTGAGTAAGTCTGACATGGGAACATCAAGCAAAATGTCAGTGTGGAGCTTACTGCAAGAGCTACTGACAGCAGCATCCCCACTGGCTCCAAGAATCAATGTTATTTGCTGCATCAAGTCAGCATCAGTAGTAGCACTGCTCTCTCATTCTGCCAAGGTTCTGGCAGCTAAATCCAGTATGTGATGTTTAGCAGAGCTCAGTGTGCTTCTCCACACCACCACCCCAGCAGTTTCAAGCTGACATATCAATGAAGCAGGCCAACAGTGGCACCTGGGCTTTGAAGACTGGCAAAAGCAACATGTGCAAATTACTGGAGTAGAATACAGTGTCAGGCAATAGCTCTACCTCTGGAACAGCCACAGAAGCCTAGACACAGTATCATTTAATCAACAGCATAGCAGGATTTTCTTTTCCAGTACCAGGCATGGTAGGCAGAATACAAGAGATGCTACTTAAAAGAAATTTCTGGACTATCACACCTTTCAGAAGTCTCCGAAGACATTACTGTGTCTTACAGACATTACATAGATACAAGGAAGCAAGGGCTATCAAGATAAGTAAAAAAATGTAACCAATAGTTGCATATGTTCTGAACTACCCAGAACTTCAACAGTTTGTTGAGAAGATAGCTCTCCTAAGGCATACAAACTCCTCATAAGTAAGAAACACAGCACAAGTAGAGGACAACTGTCTAAATTTGAGTGCAAGGTTTACTTTGACAGTATTTATTGAGTGGAAGTGGCCTATTAAGTATTGTTGCAATTCTTGATATGGACAAGGCTCAAATTGTTCTTGTCCATCCATACCAAAAGTGTTTCAATTAAGAATGCAAGACTGTGGTAATGCTTTAATACTCTCCAAGGATTCTGCATTATTGGATACTCTTATGGCACTTCATTGCTTTACACTGTAAGTGATTATCTTGGAGCCCAGCAGAAAGAATATTTCATCTATCTTAAGATGACATGACAATGAAAAGAATGATGGACCTGAAAAGAAACAAACAAACTAGAAACCCAACCATGGCACAAGATGTCAGCCAGAAACACTGAACAAAGCAGTAAAGGAGATTACCTCAACTTCTGTGAGCCAGCCAAAGAACAAGGCTTTTAACAGGAAAGACCATAAGAGGCCTGAATGTGGCAAAAAAATCCCCTCCCTCCCATGTGAGGTCCATTGGCAAATGGATCTCTTACCATGGTCCTCCATTTAAATTGGCTTTGGCTTCCATGACACAGAAAGGTGAATGACTGTGGAGAGATTATTGCTGGAACAAGAGAGGCAAAAGGCAAGGAGGGTCATGTAGTGAGGTCAGCAGCTCAGCCATTTCATGGCTGTTAGACAAAAGAGAGAGAAGTAGTCATCTCCTTGTCAGCTTATGTGTTGGAAATGCATGGCTTGGCAGAAGCAGTACCTTAGGTGCTGGAGACAGCAACTCTATTACAGAGAGTAAATCTGGCCTTCTGAGCAAGGTCTGCAGCTCAACATCATCCAAGAACAAAAAGATAAGTCTACAAAGAAGGGTCCAAAGTATGTTGAGCATGGTCTTGCCAATCTTTGGGTACCTGCTGACCTCTTTCTCCCATCTTTCAGTTCAAAAGCTCAGTACTAGCTGTTCAAATTTCTTGTACAACATATAGGGAGCTTTGTGTCATCAAAGAGGGCCATAAACAACATGTTGAGTGGCATCTCCCTTCATCAAGTCTATACTCTACAAGGTAGAATTCTACCCATATTTTGTTTAGGTAAACTTCAGAGAAGCACCCACGGTAAGAATTTGCTGCCAAACTTCTTTTTAAAACACAACCTATCTGAACTATCAAAAGTAACAGCTGAACCACACTTCTAAAAAAAATAGAAGGAGAATGAGGGATTTTTTACTTGCCTCAGGGAGTGAGAGAGGGATTCTACTTCCTTCTCAGTTTAAACCTCACATTCCCTGCTTTATGTTGCAGGCTGAGCTGTGAAAGCACACAGTTCACCCCTCTGGTAAGCTAAACCTCTGAATAGAAAAGAAAGTCAGAAAATTCAGTCAGAAAGAAGGATCATCAGTTTGACTCAACACCTTGATCACTCACACAAGAGAGTAAGTCTGCTTGCTCCTTAGACATATATTTTACAACAACCATTAGAAAAATACAGACTTTGCCAAATCTCCCTGAACTTGTACACAGAGCTTCCGTGTGCAGAAGAGGTACCAGCAGTGGCAATCAGTGGGAGTTAAAGCCTTCACTGAACAGGTAAGACTTGAACAGTAGTATGAAAACTTAATCAGAGGTGCAGTTACTTACCTAAAAAGGCACAAGAAGAAGAGGAAGGGTCTAAGCCTTTTACAAGACCAAGCAATTTTCAGAGAGGTAGAAATGATTAATGTCTTTAAAAGAGGAAACAGATTTAGCTCTCCTGCTGCCCACTGCAGCAAGCAAGAGTTGCTACAGCTTTTTCCTTGTGAAGAAGCATAAGGCAGATGAACAAGCAATTTAATAATGCCTATGCAAGAAAAGATCTGGTAAGTGGGATCTGCAAACACAGCTGAAAGGATGCTTTCTCCAACAACTAGACTAAAGAAAGTAACTGATTTGTACATCATTTTTCTTTGTATGTAGGTGTAGTAGAAAATTCAAAATCACACGTGGCATGCGCCCTGCAAGCAGCTAAATTTGCAACGAAAAATTCCCAAGTAAGCCTGCTGTTTACTGGAGACTTTGAGAAGGAATAATACTCAGTACCTTATAATCTAGGAGTCATTCAGAAAATAAATATTATCTGACCATTTGTGTGGTACTTTTAAAACTGGCAAAGGACTAGTATAGCAGAGGTTTAAAACAAAGGAACATCAGCAATGTGAGTGTCAATAAAACAAATTTTCAGTACATATTCTAAAAGCTTTAGTTAAATGAGCCTTAAAATAATGTTTAATGTTTTTTTTCCCCCCTCCAAAAAGACATAGCTCAAGGGGCACCCTAGTTCACTGTAAAACCCCAACCAACTCCCTACCCCACAGTATCACTTACTAAAGGGATATATATATATATATAAATATATAAATGTTTGATATATAAACTGGAGAACAACAACAACAACACAATTTTCTCCAACACTGCTAAGGCATATGGGCTTGGCTGTCACACTTTTCTCTATGAGCAGTGTCCAAAACCCCAGTTTGACACAGCACTGAACCTATAGGCATCAGAAGAATGAAAAGTTGTCCACATTCAAAATGCATGCTGTGGTTCACTGTTAGTGCTGCTATTTCTGTATGCTGTATAGTTGCATGGATTACTAAGGGAAATTTATTTATAGCTTCCAGTTACTATTGTCTGAAGGTTCACCAACGATACTGACAGTAAGTTTTATTGCACTTGTTATTGCACTGACTTAGTTAAACAGCTCTGAATTCTTCTGAGGGAAAGAAAAACCTGTATTTCCAAATTCAGAAAAAGCTTTTAAGAGAGACTATATTGACTCATCCACTTAAGATTCTATTTATGCATTAGATGACAAAGATGACTGTTTTAACTTCTTGCATTTCTCTCAAAAATGTGATTCCAAGACAGCCCGTGTCCAAGACTCTGCACCTTGTATGCTCTTCCACACAGGCTTCACACTGAAAACCACAGCTTTTTACTGTCACTATCAATATCTGTCTTACACTCCTGATTGGACTGCAAGTAACATTTCCAGGCAACACGTGGCAAGAAGAAGAAAGAAAGAGCACTGAAGTCTTTAGAATTGTCAGTCATTAAGTCTCTTAGTTGTTTTAATACATATTTGTGCCCTACAATACTTAGCAAGTTTTCAGTACTTTATACATGCCAACATTGAATGTGCTTTTTAAGCGCTACCATCTAACTAAAATACCAGCTGGCAAGGAAGTGCCTAAGAACTCTGCCATTACATTTTCCTGCTGCTTATATTTCTATCAACACAAATTTATATGGGACAAGAAAAAAACAAAGCATTTTATAATAAGAGTTGCCTGACACATCACATAAATGATTTTACCTTTTTGTTCCCACTCTGTGGTTTGGGGCAATGTCAATTGTGTCTGTAGCTGAATCGTGCCTAACCGCCAATCCCAAGTCTGCAATGCAGCAAGTTCCATTCTTTTTCACCAATATGTTTTTTGATTTTAAATCTCTGTGGGCGATTGCTGGTTTGCCTGTAAGGGAAAAAACCAGAAGTTGTAAAAAACCTCCAAACCAACCTGCTTCTATTCTAAGCCTGGTACAAAATTTTGTTTGAAGTTACAGAACTCCTTCCAGTTCTGACACCTTATCTGCGCCAGGGTACCTCCTGAAATCATTCATTATAGATTGTCTGGCTTTTTTCAGTTAAGTGCCTCTCATGTTTACTGTGTTACACCACTCTTGCTCCTTTCCCTCTTCCAGCAAGTATTTATTGCACACACATCCTACTCAAACTTTGTCTCAACTCAAAGTTAAGATATTACATGCATCACTACTTGGTGTCTTTTAACAGGTTTTTTGAAGGAAGGGTTGTTACATCACAATACCAGAGAAAGGAAGGCAAAAAGCCTTTCAAATTAAGAAGTACTATTCATTTGGAAATCATCACAGAGCAGAGCGAGCTACTTATGTGTATTAAAGAAAACAAAAAACCAACCAGTATTATCCACATGACAAGCAGAATAATTTTAAGATTACCTTGTGTGCCAACAATTTCCATGTGCAGATGAGCAAGACCACTGGCAGTGGACAAAGCTAATTTTATCATTCCTTCCACTGTTACTGTATATCTGTTCAGGTAATCAAAGAGTGATCCATGCTCGTGATAGTCTGACACTAACCACAGCTGAGTCCATGTACCATTGTCTGGAAAATAAAACTGGCATGAATACCACACATATACACACAAACTACAAATAAACTATATGTTCCACTTTTATACAATGCTTGTGAAGCACAAGTTATGGTCTACAAATAACCTCTGTAAATTAGACTCTTACAACTATACTCTTAAACTCTTCTATCACTGTAACATTTAGACACCTCTGCAAGGGCTGGTAATACCATGCAAGAGCTTCTGAAGAGCTTAGTGAGTATTCTTGTATTTAAACTAAAACACAAACCATAGAAAACTGATGTCACTAAAATTCTGAGGTGTATATTCAGGGTGAACTGTTCTATTAGCCAGACCTTTCCTCTCCCTTTCTCTTGCTAGAGGGGGCACAAAGAACAGTGCTGAATGCATGACACAAAACTAATCCTATCAGTCTAGCACAATATTGTCCAGGCTAACTATTAAAAAAAAAAGTTTCAAATTTTGCTCCCTAATTCCTTCAGTCTTCCCTAAGAGCAGATATGCCCTCAGCCTGGGAGACAATTCTCACGTGGATTTTTGTTCCTGAAGTAGAAGCAGCAACCAGACAAAGTTAAATCCCACCTCTGATGACCTCTACATTGCTGGCCAAAATTGAGGTTTCCAGGAGGCACGAAGGTAAAGAAAGCAAAAAGCACTGAGGAAATCAGTTTGCTGTATGACTTTTGATTGAACTATGACAAACAAGATGGGTCACAATACATTTGTAGATATCCCAAGGCATACAAATGACATATAAGAACTTAATTGTTCACCTTATTAAAGCAGTGAACACAAAATACCTTTAAGTTTAAGCCACAGAAAGAAGGCTGTCAAAGGAATTCAAATCAAGAGGGGAGCAAAAGTATTTTTTACCTAAGAAGTAGAAATATACCCAGAAAAGAAACCAGAATCCTGCCACCAAATAGATTTTTCAATTTTGTTGTGTTATAAAAGCACCTCTCCTGTGGCAGACTTGAAAAGTGTTTTTATAGCCAGCCTCTTTTATAGAAGAGTCTTTCATCTCTTTAGAAGAGCAGTTATCTCATAAAAGATATCAGTTGGACTCCTATTCTGAATTATATAGCCCCTATTCTCTCAGAACAAGTGAGAACATTCAGCACAAGTCAAAAAAGATGTCTCATTATGTGATAGTCCCCAAAGATTGCTCAAGAATTAAACATGAAGAACATGAAAAAGGGAGGAAAGTTCAGAACTTATTTCCTATCATAAACATACTGAAAATTTTTTACTTTCTAAAGAACACATTTGTCCAGAGAAGTCAGAAGCACAAAACGCCTGCTCTACAGATTGATGGACACTACCTTTATAGAAACACTTGTGCTTATCTTTAACTTGACACTTTGGTGGGGGTGGGAAAACTTGCAAACACCCCTTTTATTTGGATATTTTTAAGGAAGCCAGTGATGCTCTAAAAAAAAAAAAAAATCTAAAAAATGAAAGATAAAAATAAAAACCCCACCAAAATTAAAAGGCTTCCAAATACTTCAGAGTAGGAAAAAGATTAATATACATTCAAACAATTCCCATAGTGGAAAGAGAACTCTGGCTTGCTACATTTACAGGATAGTCTCAACTAAGTTGTTTAAACAGGCAAAAAAAAAAAAAAAAAATCCATCACATACTCCAACCTGTACAAGACTGGTAAAAAGCTACTGTTGCAGCAGGAAGAGTCTTTTATGCCCACACAAGGGACAGGTAAGTTTGTAAGTCTTGTTTTTTAAAAGAAGAATAGGGAAATAAAAGATTTAAAAAAAAAAAATCTTCAGTTATTTTCTCATTAGAACTGCTGCATCTCTTGCTATTTGGCAATATCCAAGCACAAACTCATAGAACTCAGCATACCATTAAATGTGACTTTTTCTAAAGAGACTTATAGTCTCTGTAGAATCAATCCAACAGTATTGGTTTCAGTAAACCAATCTTACAGAACCATTAGAAACAGGTATGAATTCACAGGCACAGAAAAGATGTTCTTAAATAGACATAATCAGAGAGCTCCAAAGAGCTGCAGAAGTTCCAAGTAAATTAACCTTATCATGTGAGAATATTTTCTTTATTCAGTTTTAGTCTACTGCTTCATCAGTTATGACCCTACATTGCCTACAATAATCCTCTCCTGAGCATTAACATCATACACACTCATTACTTGTATTTAATTTCTTCTCCTGTTTCTTAGGAGTGGGGTACCTCAGCAGGTGTCTGTACTAGACACCCAGCTGTAAGGAGGGAAATAAAACTAATTTTAATTAGTTTACCAGACCAATTGTGTTTAAATAGCTCTATAAAAGGTGTCAGTTTCTGAAGAATTATCACAGCTTTGATTCAAGACTACGGTGCCTTTGCATAAACTTCTCCACCTCTTACCACTACGTTTCCTCCTAAGAGGGGAATATGCTGCTGGTTACAGACCCTTCTATTCAGTTTCATCTTGTGTATTACCTGCAAGTTGGAATATTCCAAGTTCTACCTTCTTTCCAAAGAAGAAATAGAAGTTGGGCTTACCATCCAGTCCGAGAACAACCATGATTTTTTCCTATTATATGCCATATTTGTGACCCTTCAACCAGATCTTAAGAAGAGACAGTGCTACATCCAAACCTACATGAATAATATTAATTACTGGCAAGCTGAAATGCAGCAATAGGTCCAGCATCCAGCTATCAGAACAGATACTACTAAATTAGAAAACTACTAAGTTTTCCTTGCCTTGCTATATTTGACAAGCTCTACATTTGTTTACCATTCTAAGCAGAACACATTACAATAAACTTAAATCTTATTATTCTGTTGACATTAGTAATAATTAACCTGACCCTGAGTATTTTTGGCTGCACGGTAAACAGCATCTGCCATGAAGCTTTCAATCACAGGATTTGCATTATCAGGTAGGAAAAGGTAACTACACTCAACAGTAATTACAAACAGTAGCCCAGCTTTCCATGATTAGGTAATCTAATTTAGTTTATATACACACAATGATCAAGAATCTCAAACAATTTCAGAATAGTAAAAAATTTACACACATTATTGGAAATATATTTAAGAGATTAATTATGGTTATTTCAGCTATTTCAAGAGACCTGAAAGTATCTTATACTGCCAAGATCACTCAGAAGTAAAAGATTTTCATTTTTAACTCTAAAAAAATATTGAAATTCTGAGAAAAGAAGCTTTCAGATTTTTTGTCAGGAGACTGATTAGTTTGGGAAAAATATTTCTGATGTTCAAGCAAAATCTGTCTTAGTAGAGCTGACTCATGAAGAAAGGAATTTATACAATTGCTTTATCAAATATATCATCTAGTTTCAATTAAAATCCAATTGACTGGAATCGTGTAAGTGCAAATATTTTTTTCACATCAACACCAGCAAAACAAAAATGTTTTCTGTGGTGTTATGTAGAAAAGTGTTTCAGAGATTTAGCTTTTTTTAGTATGTAGATAATGTAATATGTAATGTAAACAACAGGAAAAAGCAAAAATATCAGATTCGAATGGGATTTACAACTAGAAATCTCCTAGAAATGAGATATTCAGGGAGATAGCACTTTTGTCAGTGACTGGAGCATGACTGGTGTCTTGTTAGCATAACAGCTTGACTCTATCACATTGACACAGTCATCTGACTAAACCATGAAAAGCACTTGAGCTGTGCAGGTTCCTTCTTCTCAGGCTAAAGCCAGAGTGTCAAAAAGAATAAATGGCTGAAATCTTACTTCTCAATTAATTCTCAGGAATTCTGCTCATTTCTTTGCAGCATATTGTTTAACATCACTTTTGGGGATCTACTTATCATGAACGGTATTCTGACTGAACCAAACTATCGCATAGGGAAGTGCAGCTCTCGGTTAAGGGAAAGGAATGGGGAAGTCAAGGTATTTTAGTGCATTAAGTTATCTGGAAGTGTGCAGTGCAAGACTTCACCTTATTGCAATTTGCCTACAGACAAATGCCAGCTAATGCAGAGAAACATTTAGTACTGTAAGCCACAGTTGCTGACACTACACTTTTGCTACTAGTCCAGATAAGTCGTTCCTGATACACTTTACCTTCAAGTAACTGGGTTAGAAAGAACAAAACAAAAAACCATGCACAAAACAAACTGTGTGTTTAGATGGTTCAAAACAAGACAACACATGGCCCTGAAAGTAACTTCCCTGACCTAGCAGTATTTGGAAGTTTGCACACACTCGCTATGCAAAGAGCTACCCAGAACACAGAAGTGCTTGTCAGGCAGACCAGAACTCCAGAACTGCAGTTAAAGTAATTCATTGCTTCTCAGGCCTCAAGCTGCCTTAACTGCAGCACCTGTTTCCCAGTAGATTACAGGATTGGAAGCAGACAGATTGGACCAGCTCCTGTAGCTTCCTGCACACGATACAAGTCTGGTGAAGTAGAAGAGAAGAACGTGCCATTAAGGCACATGGACTGTCTGAATAGTGTAGTAGAAAAAGGAGTGAAGACAGCAGTTCAGTCACAAGCTCTAATCTAAATACACACCCTCCTATCCAAAGGAACCCCTTCCACCAATTTTACACTAAACAGCCAGCCAGAAGTTCCTCAGCTGTTGTGAAAAACTGCAGCTATGGTAAGAGGAAAGACCTTACTAATGCCTTCAGCAGCAGCAAGAACTAAAGCACGCCTTGGTTCTACAGCTTTATTACTAGTCCTTTGCTAACCTTAAAATTACTAGCACTCCTGTATCTCTGCAGTCATCTTTGCAGTACCTCAGACACACAGATTCTTGCAGTCTAATGACTTTGTGCATTCCAGCTAGGCTGGAATGGATGCAAACCCACCACAGATATTACTGCTGTGAACAATTACATAATCTTGCACCTGGCACCACATAAACATTCAGTTTAGCAGTTAGCACCAACATCTAAAATGAAGGACTGCTCCTTAAGCCATTGGAACACTTATGTGTTCTTAAGCCATTGGTCCCTAAAGCCATGCTGTGATACACCTCCTTTCAGAGGACCACAATAGTGCACCTGCTAAACTGGGAGAACCATAATGGCCCCTCTGTGTTCTCCCTTTAATGGGATACAGCTGGCCTGAAGTATTCTAAACAAGAATTGAAGTATTAACCTCTTTCAATATTCAGGACTGAATTCTTAGCCCAGAGAGCAAATGGTGTGTACATATTTCCTCACTGAGAGAATGTAGAAGGTTATACTATGAATTAAGCCTGCACTGTTAGGTTAAAAAGAACAGAGATTTCTACATCTGCTCCGACAGCAATATCATTAGAGAACACAGTCAAGAATAGTGGCATTTTCAAAACACATTTTTATCTATTTTTCAAAAACCAGGCACCAACTAGTTCTCAGTAAAGTAGAAGAGCCTTACCCTGAAGACCTAAAATCTCAAATAATGCCATGACCTGTAAGTTAAGGATTCCTTCTTTGTATGTAAAGCATATTAACAGAAAAACCAGAAACAATTTCATATCACATTATATTACAAGGAAACTAAAGATGACCAAGTCAAATGCTACAGCATCTGCAACACAAACCAGCAAATCAGAAATTACTTTAAAAACCTAACCATTTAGGAAAGCTTCCTCATACCTCCTCTTCACAGCAGTCAAATGTATTTTTAGGACAAACCACCTGGAAGTTTCAGGCAAAATGAGACACTGATATACTTAACCACAGATGGATTCTGTGAAAAGTTACAACTAAGGTATTGCAATATATCCTTTATGCTTTTAAATGAGAAATAGAAGCTAAAGCTTCTGCAGACATTTATGACTGTAATGAAGCTGATCTAATTTTAAATCCAGGCTCCAGATACTCCCCTAGTCCAACCAGAGCAAACTCAAGCTCTTGCAGATGCTAGTAATACCAAATACAATTCTAGACATGAAAATAAGAAATCTAATGGCAAGCACAGTAAGCTGCAGGAAAAAGTTGCCTGCTACGGTGCTGACCTGCAAGTTTTTGCAGAATAACAAGCTGCACAAATATCTGATAGGTGCAAGTTAACTTAGACAACCCTTTCCTGGAGAAGTGTTCTGCATAATCTCTTGGATTCTGTTCCAATTTTACAGATTTATATAGAAACTTGAAATTCATCTAATGGTAATTAAAAATAACTTTACATATATACTTGGCCCTCACTAAAACCATTTAGAAATTTCCCACAAAACTGAGAGCCCTTTAAAAATTCAGCACATGTGTGAATTGGTTCCTTCCTAACGTGGCAGAATTTTCTGTTAATGCGTTCTTCACAAAGAAGTCAAATGCCACTTGTGGTGAAACATGAAAATAACTGAATGAAACAGTATCTTAATATCTTGGCTCTCCTTAATGAAAGGAATTCAAAACGTGGTTTTGTCAGATTCTTGCATCTTTACTGGAATTACAGGAATATTCAAGAAATTTTAAATCTGACCAAAATCACAACAAATCAAAGTTGAAAAAATGGTTCTTCTTCCTGGATAATTAAAGAATTATCAGGAGAGCTTCAGGAAGGAGGTGTAGTTTTTTTTCTACTAGAAACAATTCATTAATTCCATTTATGCAATTTATTTTCTAATAAATAGACTTCTAAAAGAATAATGTCTTATAACTCAGCCTGAAGAATAAATCCTCTACCTCCTATTTTATACCAGGACAACAGGATTAGACATGATCTTTCAGTCCCACACATCTATATTATTAGGCTATGAGGTAATGACAGGTATGAGGATTTGGCAGATGTATGGGCCCACAGGATAAGGCATCTCCTTTTTGATATCAAAGCATTTTAAACAAATTTAAACAAAGCATATTCTTCAGGAAAAAAACCCAACACAATGTACTTTTCCTTCCTTAAAGTTTCAAAAAGCATACCAAATCCTGAACTACTCCAATAACAAAACTATTTTTTGCTACTCTTAAATGGATCCTCAACTCCTTTTTCCCCTGGTGCAGGATCAGCAAAATGAATTCATGGTGTCACCAACCTTTGTTGTCTGCAGCTATAAATCCAAGAATGTTTTCATGGCGTAGCATGACTGTCTGATAAATTTCTGCTTCTCGAAACCATGACCGTTCCTCTCTTGAAGAGAAGATCTTCACAGCAACTTCTTCTCCTCTCCACTTCCCCCTCCAGACTTCTCCAAAGCGACCCTTACCAATGCTTTCTTGAAGTACTATCGTTCTTGCAATTGTTCTTTGCACAAGTAAAGGTAAACCTAAAAAGAAGATTTTACATTAACCTTAAATATCACTCTACATAATTAGCACTTATCCCACATATTGAATACGAGATCCTATTTCTATTAGGGTGTTTTTCTTAAAACGCATATATTCTCTAAGATTTTAACTGCATGTTGAGAACTGCTAGCAAGCACATAGGTAAGATTCTGCCTTCACCCTTAAAAGGCCATCTTAACAAGTACTCAAGGAGATTATGCTACAAACTATTTCTATGGTTGTTAAAAGCATAACACAAACTTCCTTTCAGTTAGGAATGTTGTCACTTGCTGATCCATAAGGTTTTATTCAAATGAAAAAGAGAAGCAATGATGAGGCAGTTAGGACCAGGTTTAGGGGTATTTTTGGTTGCTTGATAGCGACAAATGTGAGCTTTTTCTTTATTTTTGGAAAAAGGATCTATCCATAACTCTCCTGGCAAAGCAGTTTAAGAGCACTTTTGCTACTGATTAATTCACTTGGCTTATCACCAGATAGTCCATTTCTAAGTCAGTTAAACTACACTTATCAGCAACACTGACTGCTGAAAATCCACACTCGTGCCCAAGTGTGCCAATAGCCTCTTAGTAATCCAGAATAACTGTAAAATAGGAAAATGTCCTTGTAATGCAAGTTTCTTGTTTTATAGGCCATTCTTGTGCACCTCACTGTAATCATAATTGAGAAAAATGTTTACATTCATGAAAGTTTTATAGCTTTAAAAGATTTACATGCTTTCAACACAGAGTACCTCTTCGGTATGCTTCAGTAATTTTATACATCAAGCAGCACTGGCATCCCTCAACCAGGCTGGGTTTTTGTTTATTTTAAATATTTCCTGCTGTAACTCCAGGACTTGTCACTGGATTCCACAATGATACTACACTGCAGGATCAAAGCATCAGCCAGGTTATCTGCTTACAATAAGCTCTTTTAGCATAGGATTATTTCACTTAAACCAAACACTTTACAAAGTAATCTATTATTCTATAATCTCTGTTCCAAGAGCTGACAGAACACCTGCATTTCCTTATGTTATAGAAAATAAATCCCAACTAATAGCTCAGATAATTAATTCTTGTCCACCTCTGGACATTTTTTACTAACAGCAGCACTAGAATGATCTGCTTGGCAGCATTGTCACGCTTGTGTCTCAGTCTGAGAAGAGCAAATTAAAACACTGCAGTGTTCAGAAGAGCTCCTCAAAAATTCAAGACCTACAGGAATTTTCTGCATGGTCTATGCTGACAATACACCTAACAAGATGACAGGAAAGAAAAAAAATGTACACCACACCAGCAATTTCATCATTGTCAGGTGCTGTAATTCTGAGAAAGTTAAAACGTTCACTGCAATAAAATTGCAGGTGCAAAAAAATTGCAGGTGAATTGTGCTGCATGCCCAAATCACAGAGGCTCTTCTGTGAAGCCTAAGCTTACGGACAGACTTTTGAAATGCAGAAGAGGCCAGATTAGACCAACCACAGGACCAAACTCAACCCTGAAAATGTTAAAATTGACTTCATTGGTCAGAGAAAGTTACTTCCTTAGAATTTACGCACTACTGCAAAATCTATAAGCAAATGTCAAATACAAGCTGATTTTGTGTACCTGAAATGGGTGATAGGCCATACAGTTGTGAAAACGATATATTCCCACTTTCAGATGCACTCTTCTCAACTTCCTGCACCTTTTATAGGCATCTCTCATTGTTTAAAGTATGTCCAAGGATATCACCTAGCTGCTAAACGTATACTAACCTGTAAACCTCCTAGACAAAGCATTTCAATTTCACATTACTAACTCGCATTCATCACATTAACATGTCACTGCAGGATTAAAAACCCTACTGTGATCTATCCACTTACTCGTATATTTATTTTTACAATATTTAGAAGATTCAACTTGCTTCTGTTTCTTTCTCTTACTACTGCTGCTTCCAGAAGATTGGAATCCATATTTATCTTGCATTCATAGCAATTCATTACAGACTTTCTGTTACAGCTGAGCAATTTCCTCATTTTGCTATAGGAGAAACACAGCCCTGTATCACCAGGAACTTGAGCAACTGCTGTACTGTAAACCAGACTGCCTGAAAAGCATCTCCCAGGAGACAGCTACAGACTCAGCCTTTCACAGACACATTGGGCACAACTGTACTCCAAGCTCCTGGATACACCTTCTTTTAACTGTGCATGAAGAAAAATGATAGCCAGTTTGTCAAACAGGAGAATAAGAAAATTTGAGCCCATATTAAATTCAACAGCAGCTCAATGTTTGACACCTTGCATTTTGCCATTGTCATCCAATTTAATCCTGAAACCTTCATCATCATTTTCTTATACTAGAAAGTATCCTCAAGCCTTCTGAGTCTAACAAAAAAAAGAAAGTTCATTTTCTTTTCCATATCTTGATGTGATTAGTTTAGTGACTTTCCAATGCACAAGGAGTCTGTAACTAAATAGAATAATTCAGGAATTAAGTTCAGGAGCACTACCGTTAGCCAACAAAAGCAGCTGCTAGAATTTTGTTCTTGTTCATAAGTCTCTGCCTAGAAGACTTCCTCTAATGAGTAATAAAAAAAAAAATTCCATGAACTGTGAAAAATCTTATTCCCTTCAAGCTTGTATGAATTGCAAATTGTTTTAAAGAGCTTTACATTCACTTCAACTGACTCAACTTTGCCTTGATTTCTGTGACCCTTTAGATTTCTAAATAGCTTAAGTTCCTGCTGGAAGTCACCCACCAATACCATCCAAAGCTTCTCCCCCGCTGTAGGCAATTCTTCCTACTCCCTTGTAACTAAGTGACTTTGTTATTTGTGAGTTAAGACAGTAACAGATGGGCGTCCCCATCTGTCTATACAATATGTAGTTGATATTTAGAGATCTGCATCATGATCTGAAAATCATTCTCAGCGCCAAGAGACTTTGAAATCCCTCTCTTAGAAGCTGTAGCTTCACCAGAAGGATCTATTTTAGATATTTCATTAATTCCTTTCATGGAGTATCTCCTTATTTCAGGTCTTGTTCGTCATGGAACAACATGGCAACACTAACGTAAGCCAAGACCAAATAATTAATAGCAACTTACTATTCATCATTGCAGCAAATGAATCCTACTCCCTTTTGGTCTGAATAGGAAGCTCAATTTTAGAGTCCTGATTATTTCTCTGTTTTATACACTTCTCAGAGAATACTGAATTAACAAAACTGGTAGAATAATTTTTATTTTACTATGAGCTCTTCTGGTCTCTCTGCATGAATTTAAGAGCAGAATATGGCTTTTGGGCCACCAAAGTAAACAATTCCGTAGCTGTGCCTCTTGGGTCTGGATTTTATTTTTATTTTGCCTGTTCTGTACATTTCCATTGTGTTTTGGCAACCTCTTGTCCCAAAACCATGTGTTTCAGACAGTTCAGTTTCTGACAGGGTTAAGCACTGTTTTAACTAGCAGCTCTGATTTTCTCCCTTTGGAGATCCTTTTCTCTACCCCCACTTTATTCCATAATGGTACAGTCTTCCCAACTTTAAGTGTGCTGTACCCAAAGTCTGGATTAAAATATATATTTCAATGAGATTCAAATGCTGCAGACATAATTCAGGACACACAAAAGTGATCAATTCAAGTGCTAGGGCATTGTGAATTTGTATAGTCATTGATTGACTAATTTTGAGACAAAGTGACACAAGTCACTGCAAATACACACCCTGCAAACCGTACAGAAAGTATGTACCTGAAGCATCTGCTATTTCACTGTCATAATCAAAGTGAAGTAGAGAAGACTTAATAAGGCTAATACTTGTCTCAGAAATAGCTCAACAACATAGAACTCACTGCAGCTGAAGCAAAAAGATCCCTTTTAAGGAAACATCCAGCCTTATTTTACAGCCTTTCAAGCACAAAAGCAAATTAGTGAAGAGGCTTCTTTAGGGACAAGTCCAATTCAACCACATTTGTTGGTTTTATTCCTTGGATGCATTCACCGTAGCCAATGCTCAAATACCATAGTAGGTCAGGTGCTCTGGGAGTCTAGACCAGCCTGAGTGCCCTGAATTCAGCTGTGAAAGTTTAGCAATTCCCTAGTATGTTCCTTTTACTTAAAGGGTAATTAGCAAATAGCAAAGGGAAGAGTCAGTAGTTTCTAGCCATGTATTCCAAAGGAAGAATCATAAGTTTGTTCTAACTTGGATACCCTGCTTTTCAAGAGCTTATTTTGAAGGAATACTTCCAGAGTTTTCAAACAAGAAGAGGTTCAGAATCATCACAGGTAAGAAGGCCAGAGGAAAAATGAATAGTGAATGAAAAGACCAATTGACAACTAAGTTTGACTTTTAATTAGAATTTTTTTTCAGCCTTTTTTAGAAAATTTTTAGCTCTGCAGACATTAAGTAGAGAATTTTACACTTCTAATAGTGTAACAATTATATATACACATCAAAATTTTCTGCATTCCAAGATATGTAAATCTGACTCCTCCATATTATCTATATCTGACTACTGTATACCACTCCTAGAACAAACATAATTGGAGGCCTAAGTCCAGCGTTTGCATTTGTCAAGCTCTAGCCCAATATATTGGAAGTTCTATTAATCACTTTCATTATCTGACTTAGCTACTTCTGTTAGTAAATAAGAAAACTGATATGAACACAAATTACAAAAACTCCAGTTCTAACCAGAGAACTACCCTTATCAGGATCAAATCTTCTTGGACACACAAAAGCTTTCTCAGCTGGAACATAACCTGCACACCCAGTGCAAGCTCACCTTCTTGAGGGAAGGTATGACTAAAATGAATTTTTGATCCAGATTTTAAACACATCCAGCAAGTTACATGAATTTTATTTGACAAAGCAATGGACTCTAAACAATTTTATCAGTTACTGCCCTTGGGAAAAAAATGGAGCCTAGATGATTGGGTTTTGTTGTTTTAATTTTTTCCAGGTCCAGGAAAATAAAGGATACATCAGCTGAGAATCAAACACCAGAATTTCTTTGTAGAAAGTGTTCTGAAAGGACATGGATGTCTCAACACAATGTTTGCAAGTAGTAGGAATAATTTTCAGTATTAAATTATTTTAAATTTTACATAGTAGAAGGTTGGTAAAAGGTTGGAGTACACAATTTGATGTCTCCCTCCTTAACATTGACCAAAGATCAATCAATTTATGCAATGATTTACCTGGCACATCATCTCCTAACAACACCTATTAAACAACATTTCTGTGACACAGACCACCATAATGCTATAAGAAATTAATGGTAAGAGTTATAATAGCAGAAACTATATGCAATGAATAGACTAATGCTCATCTTCCCAGAGCAACACCTCTTCAAGTCAGAATTAAAACAATGAAAACCACAAAATTAAGAGACAGACATTCATCAGACATGGTCTGCATGTTGTATCCATTCTATACACAGAAATGGCTATTTGCAACTGAAAAATATCTTCTGAAAGAAAAGAATTGGCTAAAATATTAACTCAGAATTCAGAATATTCTTCATACACCCATAGTTTAAAGCTAAAAAATACCCTTCACAAAATTATCTAAGCAACACAGAAGATGGTTGTTTAGATAGGCTGAATAGAACAAAAAGGTAAACAACAGCCTTAGAGAACACAAAACATTTACAGTAGATGACTCTGATATTCCCTGCATTATATAATTTACATAAATCAGGCTACTTTGAGAATGGTAAGGAACAGCAGCAACAATTCAGTGTTTCTTTTATTTCACTTATTTCCACACATTTTCACTGATGTTGACTGAATGTACATGGAAATTGCTTTTCTAGTATTTTCTCTCTTAAATTTAATTATAAATTTAAGTAGATTTGACAATATTAAAAAAAAAATAGATGTTTTACAAGACTCTTAAGCACAGAGCAATTACTACTAGAAGTGCCACATTACCTGACCCAGAACCTGAAGTTGTCATATCATAAATTAAATCCTTTAAAGTGGTTCCTTCTGATATAAAGGGACGATCCAATGAAGGGTCTTCTTCACTTGGCACACGATGATGAATTACAGTACGATTATGACAAAGGTATAGAATCAACATCAGTGAAATGCAGACAAAGCAGACAGGTCCAGCAATGACAGCAGCCAGTTCCACAGGTCCTAGGTTAGATGCTGGTTTTCCTGCAGTAGGGCCTGAGAATTAAATAAAAGAAAAATGGTAAGACCATTAATTTCCTTTTGGTCTACTAAACTTTAGTATCCCACAGCAATATTCAAATTATTTTAATACATTTGTTACAACTTTTGCACAGTAACTTTTTTGAGAAGCAAATTACTACAAAGGACAAAAGCAACATGCTTATTTACACTTTTCATTTAAGTCTTCAAAACTGTCCCTAACATCCCTATCCAGAAGATTGTAACTCCTGTTCAAGTATCATGAAATTATGTTTATAGAATCCAAGGTGTACTTTAGGCCTTCAAATTCACCTACAACTTCCACTCTTACAGAATTTTGTTTGGAAAAAAAAAAAAAAAAAAACAAAAAAACCAAAACCAACCAACCAAAGAAAAGAGCAAAAATCCCAACCCCCTTACCTGGTGTTGGAATTGGAAGTTCTACTTTATTGCAGAGAGGTGTGTTACAGCAATAAGACACAGTATGGACTCCATCTCTGGTGGAGGGGGAACAAACAAATGGCCTGTCTCGGGGAATCAGATCAATTTCTGCTATACACATACTGTTGCGCATTATTTTGTCTGCAGTTCGTGTTACTGAGGCAAAACATACTCCATCTGTCACACACGTAAAGTTGTCTTTTGTACATAGCTGGCAGTAACACTCTAATTCTGTATTGAGAAAAAAAACATTAATGTTAGTATTGGTACATGTTCCGAGTTGAGAAACAATTTGAATGACTAAAGAAATACAAATTGAAAATGCTAGAAGGCTTTTTTTGGTTACATAAACATAGGACAGCAATGCTAAAAAGCAACACTACAAGGCTTTTTAGTGGGACAAAAAAAATGGGAGATGAGCAGAAGAAAGTCAAATTTAAATCTGAAGTAATCTCTCCTTACACAATAATTTATTAAAAGACAAAGGCTAAAATCCTCGCTGTTCTTCCAGGTAAAGGAGCATCACTACAGTTCCTCCTACAAAAGATCTAGACTTTTAAAACAACATTGCATGCAAGTCTGCTATTTTCAAACCATATACAAATAATGCCATTTTTTTTTAAACAATAACCACAGGTATAGTTTGAGTAAGTGACAAATCGGATGCTGTTGGTTACCCAAGATTAATATGTTATGCATTACTTGATGGTTTCCATTTTGTGCCAAAAGGGCAAATACCAGCTTAATCCTCATTAAAAACCAAACCCTGCACGATCCTTTCACAGAAAGAGAATGTGGTTTAGACTTGTTATTTATGAAGCCACAGGAAAATGCTGTCTTACATTACTCAAGGTGGTGATTTACTAAAGCTATCAATTTGCACTAGTAAAGGAAAGGGCATGGGGAGGGAAGCAGGAATGACACGCTAATCACCTCCAAGATGATCAGGTTTCATTCTTCACATTGCAGAAGTTCTTGGAGAAGGAAGACTACTACTCCTAATTTCTTTCTATGCTCCTTCCTGCATTTACAGCACCAAAGCCATGCAGAAAATGGTGCAGGAGCAACGATAAAAGTATCAATAAATCTTGAGTCCACTTGTTCAACTGTGAAGAGCAAAAGCTGGCTAGGACTTGTGTATGCGCGCATAGAAACATTAAAATATAGAAACCTAGACAAATTTAAAACCTTAAACATTTATGATCAAAATAAAAAAAATGTCCTGAGCCATAAAAATAGTCTGTTTCAAGGCTACATACAAAAACTTTAGACCAAAAGGATGAGGATTAACAGCTGGCAATCAAAAGGTTCCCCAAATCTGAAATCTAGCATTTCACTTAAAGTCAAGAGTTTAATATAACCTCATTAATTGCCTTGGATTTTAAACCACTCTGTCACTGGATATCATGGATTTAAATAAATGGCAATCTGATCTCAAGTATCCATGTATGTAATCTCAAAGTCAGAATCCTGAGAAACATTCTCTTAAAACACCCCCTTACCCCAAGATTTTGAGTCAAACTAAATCATTGTCAGTCATCTTCTACTGTTACTGAAGAGATTTGATCAAATGCTGAGGACTCACTATAGAAAGATAACCCTGTTTCCGAGAGATTCACCAGAACATAGACCAGCCAGAAAAAGGGAGGAAGAAAATCCTACAAATGGGATTACAAAATTATTTTTTACTATGAAGATTATTGAAAAAAAATAACTAGAAGGTGGATGAAATGAGAACTGGCATTCAGGAAGGTAAATCTTATCAGCATCACTTTTTGCACATCTTTCCCTGCCTCATCAGGAAAGTAAAGAAAGTCTTATTATTGAGAGTTTAATTACAAGAAAATTTAACATTTCTTTTCACATTGTTGTCCCTTTGGTAATTTATGCCTGAACAAATTATTTTTACTCTATCCAAACCATTAAAAATTTCCTAAAATATTTACACACACTATTTCTTTCAACTTCGAAAGTGAGCACACTTTTATCTCACTTGCTTCACCCGCGACTTTTTCTATTTAAACGGTAATTGTGGCTCAGCATAACTGCACATGCATGAGAGTGCCTACAGCAAGAGACAGATATTCAGTGATACATATTTACACTGAGTCACTGGGCAGAGGCCAAGCTGCTTGAAGTGAAAGATTACACTCGGGTTGCCCTTGTTACACTTATTCGTCTTCCTGGTCCTGTGAAGCTGTAGAGATACACTGTTCCAACCATGACTAAATAAAGCATTTTGTGCCCTATCATTCACTTTGTTTCTACCTCTCTTTTGCTACAAAATTCCCACTTAGTGCCATTTGATAAAATTTATACTTTTATTCCGGTTTGATGCCACTATCTTCTCGTCTCCTGCCAAGACACAATTCACTGTCACACACAACGGAATGATTTCCTCGGCACAAATAAATCACCGCTTCCTTCTGAAGCTACTCTCCCCCTCCCACAACAGAGGAAAACAATGCCTAATCAGCTGAATAGCAAAGCTTCTAGGAAGACAGGTTTTTGCTGCTCTCTAGTGGAGACACTCTTAAAAAAACCCAAAACAACTCGTTAAAAAATGCTTCAGCCCCCTTCCTATTCTGGCCACTTAACAGTTCTTCATGCCTTCCAGCTCGAGCAGGTAACAGTATAATTTCCATGTTTTAGTAAAAGGTAAACTAATTCAGCACCTTCAGCAACAATCCATCCAGGAGGTGAGAATATGGAATGGGAATATTCTTGCCCATTTCTCATTCTCCAGTTATCTGTGTGTCAAAAACATAAACTACAACTACACGAACACATCATAGATGAGATTTAACATCAGCATGAGGAGATGCCAGTGACCAACTATAGTTCAATCACTTTGTTCCAATAAAGAAGTGATTTCGCTTATAACTGATATAAAACAAACAACCCCCCCATATTGTTGTTCTCTTGGAGACAGAGTTTTTTGCTTTTTGTCTAAGTAGTCGCTGTTATTCTCAAAGAAATGTTACAGTAATTTTAAAAACTCAGACAGAAACCAGTGAGATCTCAAAGTTCACTCTAATGAACATATAAATTTCTAGTATGGACTGATAATAGAAAGGTATGAAAAAAAGAAATTGACAACTCTGATGTAAGCTGATCTTCCTGAGGCAGTAATCTTTCAGTTAAAACGCATTTCAATGCGTTTTGTAAACACCATTTAAATCTACTACCACAAAGAGCACTTTCAAAGAAGAAGAGAAAAAAAGTTTTCAATCGAGTCTGTACATGGCAGAGAACTTTCTTTTTAATTATTACAACAGTTTTTGGATGGAACCACTAGCATGAAGCTCCACTACCAACTAGTGAAAGTTCATGTCTGTTTAAGCAATACAAGGTTGGGGAAATGGCAGTACAAACAGCTAAACAAATGCACTGGAAGTCATACAGGCAGTCAGGGACATAGCCAAGAGCAGAAATTGGGTCAACATAGCAATGTAGGTCCTTGTGCATTGCATTTTGTCACTGCACCATTACCATTCTACATAGTCATTTCTGCTTTTTGAGACTGACTACCCTAAAAGAAACAGTAACAATGCTGTTGTGAAGGTGGGGGTGTGTGCATTGTGACATTATCATGTCATACAAGTTATCAACAGCATATTTATCATATCTCATACCACAAGATTAACCTCTTGTATTGAATACCATTACTTCTCTAATAGCTCAGTTGACAATTTTCTGAGTTTGACAATGTTGCTTTTCCTTTACCAAGTCTCTCTTGCATCAGTGTTGCAGCCTGGAAAGCCCCCAGCGAGGCTAAAGCAAGTTGGCAGCACAAATGAAACCCTGAAATTATGCAGCTTGACAAGACTTGAAATTATCTGGCTCCCAGGACCTGAGATATTGATACTATATACAAAATGGGAACAGAGAATTAAGTACACTCTAGCCACTCAACTTTTACAAGTATACATCAAAACCAGACTGTTACCTACTGAAACAGTCTTTTTTTTGTATCTGCTGTCTTTCTGAAGAAAAAGTTGCAGAAAGACTAGTTTTTAGTTACATAAACCCCTATGAATCACTATGGATGACATTTGTTTACATCCTGCATCATTACTTCAACCAGACAGTTTAGCGCAGAACACCACATTCGGCCAAAGAATTTTTAGTTGGAAATTGCAAGTTGAGATATAGTCTTCCAAAGGATGCTAACAAGGAGCAGTACAGAAATTAAAACTTGTGCGGTGCTCCAAAAAAACCTCAAACTCATATCTTATTACGAACAATTAAAATTTTCACATTATTAATACTTCATTTAATAATGTATCTTTGCTTTACAAATTTAAAAAAACCAAACAGTCTCAGCCTTCCCAAAGCAACATTTTGCTGAAAAAGACACTTCTCTTGTGATATTATAACTCTTCCTCCATGGAAAACACAATTTTTGAAACAAAAATTTCACCAGAAAGTAGAACTTCATCAGAAGAGCAATCACAATTCTTGGTTCCACAAGATGCAGAGGTTCAAGGGATAAAGAAGCAAGGCTGTGATGTGAAAGAGACAATAACAGATTTTTAGGGATATGAGCAAGAGGGCTGTAATGCTCACTGGTAGTTTTTTCCATGTCCAATAAAACTTGCCGAAGGAAAAAAAAGCATAATACATAACAGTGCAAATGTCAGCTTCTGAGTCTGTAATTCAGACAATCCTCTCAAACAATACACCTGACTCATCTCTGAACTCCTTTAGCTCAAGATACAAAAAGCTTTAGGTCTTAAAATATCCGGGACAGAGGTACAGTTTTTAAAACCACAATAGTTCATGACCTGCACTAACACATTCTTCTCACAAAGGCTTTAATTAAGTTTCACTGTTGCAAAGTAACAGCACTGGGTATCAAGTTTTCAGAAAAAACTTTCACATATATTTCATCCATCTTTGTTAAGCAAAACTTCCAGCGCAAACAGCAGGTCTTGTCAAACAAAGGGATGCACCCAAGAAAACAGACAAGCTACTTTATTAAGGCCCTACCCACAACTTGCAAGTAATGACAAAACCTTGTGTAAAATCCCAACTTCAAAGGAGTGATGTTATATTCTCTGCAATGTAGGTGCCAAATGGCACTTTTAATTTCTTGCCTTCTATCCAAAACCATACCCAGAGATATGTTCATGACTCTTAGAGCATGATAGCAGAAACAAATTGTTGCTGTATCTCTGGTTGAAGAATATGCTTTAAAAAAAACCAAAACCAAACAAAAAACCAAAACAACAAAGCTAACTGAAGAAAGCTAAAGTGAAAAGCCCAGATAATAATTTCACAAGTATTATGAAAACAGAAAGATCTTCACTTGTGTTTTTAAATTCATTCCCCCATATTAATCAGACTGCTATCTTTATTTGCAGTTAGAAGCAATTGTATGAATACAAGAGTTTCCAAGGGGTGACTCCCCAGAACTTCGGAAGACTAAAGACTATGGCCTACACAGTGAAAGCCAGAAAGTTTGTTTTCAGACTATGTCTCAAAAATTAAGGCTGTTCTACTGCTCAGCTAGCTGCTGGGATTCATTACATGCCTGATCTCTGTATAAACCATATCACAAGACGACTCAGTAGCATCAGCACATTGCAGAACACCCCCAGCAGAGGCAACCAGAAAATGCCCAACTTCTGTCAACCCACAATAAGAAGAACCAGTAGCCAAATCATACCTTGAATTACTTCATTAACTTAGACCACAATGTTCAGGCAAATTAACTGTATTACCCATATCAGGGCCTGTGGATAAATTATGGATCAGGAATCCTGGATTCCTCCCAATTCCATTGAACAGACAGGATTTCTCTTTCTTTAAATAAAAGGTAGCATGCCACCACTTCCACCCATAAGATTTTGTATGGAAGCCTGTTGCCTTGTTTTCACACAAAGCTTTTAGACCTTAATTTCATGCCTCAGATTAAGGGAAAACTGTTGATTGATGGGAGGCATTAAAAGGGAAAAAGTTCAAAGCTCAAATTGAGCTAAAATTTCCTTCAACATCTAAATTGAATGTGTTACATAAGAAAGCTTTAAATTACTAAAGACCGCCGCACCTTTTCAAGAACACCCCATGGGTAACTTAAGCTTATTTCACTGTTTCCACATCAGAGATCTTGCATCACCTTCAGTAAGAATATGGGTGATTAACACTACATTTTAATATAGCAGGTTATGCTTCAAGTAACTTTGGTTTTTTCAGCACGACTACCATTTTAGATTGAATTATGAACAGCATGGTATAGATGCAGACTGAGGGATGTCTCAAAGTGGTAACTGAAGAAGTTGTGGTGCTTCTCCACTTCCTCTTTAAAACCCAAAGCAACATACAATCCAACTACAAGAGAATTTAAGAAGTGAACTAATTACAAAACGCGGACTTCATCATATAAATTAGTACAGATGAAACTGAAGCCCACATCAGTTCAGGCAGGGTAACACCTGTATAACCCATTAGGCCGTATGCCCCAACCTGCTAACCGCAGAACAACATGCACATTTTAAAAAACAAAAAGGAAAAATCTACCCAGATCTTGCATTTATGAATGCTGTTAAGCATTACTGTTTCATGCATTAGCTCTGCAACAGCACAGCTCTAATAGCAAATCTCCTTCGCTAAAAAGCACAGGTACAGAAGGCTGGAGGAACAAAACCATTTAATTTCCACCCGGCTCGGTCCTCGCCGAGCACAGCGGCGAGGGCGGGTTGGACCGATAAAGTTCACCTGTCCCCCCAGCCCCGCGACAGCAGCGCACGGTGCTGCGGCGTGCGGCACAGCGGGGGCAGCCCCTTGTCGCCGCCGCGACGTGGGACATTCAACACATTCAACACGTCCCTGCACCGCCCGCTCCTCCGGGCGCGGCGGCGAGCGCCCTGCGGCGACCCGGGGACTGCCGCACCCCGCCCGGGAGCCGGGGGCACTCCGGGGCTCCCGGAGAGGCAGCCGGATGCACGGGGAAGCTCCGACAGCGGTAACTTCGCCTTCGCGGGCCAAGGCCACACGCACCCACCCGGGCAGACACCGGGACAGAAAGTTACCCCGGGCACGCACCGCCCGAAGCGCTGCTCGGCAGGGGCGAGGAAGTAGCGGCGGGGGCCGAGGGGAGCCCTCCCCGCCGCCCCTTCCGCGGAGCCGCCGCCGCTCTCGGCCAACAAAGGGCCGAGCGGTCCCCGCCGGGCTCGGACACCGGGGGTGGGGGGGAGGTGACTCCGCCCCAGCCGGCCCCTCCGCCATGTTGTTGAAAGGAACCGGCGGGG